CCTCGCCACGTACCATGACTCGCTGCTGTCTTCCTGACAAGTATTCCCTGATCCATTGTAGTGCCTTCCCTGTTATCTCTGCTTGGTCCTCCAGTTTTTGCACTAATCTCTTGTGTGGAACTGTGTCAAACGCCTTCTTGCAGTCCAAGAAAATGCAATCCACCCACCCCTCTCTCTAATGTCTTACTGCTGTCACCATGTCATAGACCCCCAGTAGGTTTGTGACACAGGATTTCCCGTCCCTGAAACCATGTTGGCTGCTGTTGATGAGATCATTCCTTTCTAGGTGTTCCACCACTCTTCTCCTGATAATCTGTATGTATGTATGTGTGTGTGTGTGTGTGTGTGTATGTGTGTGTATGTGTGTGTATGTATGTGTGTGTGTATGTGTGTATGCACTCACCTAATTGTGGTTGCGGGGGTCGAGCACAGCTCCTGTATGTGTGTGTGTGTGTGTGTGTTTTAGTTTTATTGCCCATTCGTAATTAGGTTGTGCAGCAGAGCATCACAGCAGAGCATCACAGCAGAGCATCACAGCAGAGTATCACAACAGAACATCACAGCAGAGCATCACAGCAGAGCATCACAGCAGAGCATCACATCAGAGCATCACATCAGAGGATCACAGCAGAGGATCACAGCAGAGCATCACAGCAGAGTATCACAGCAGAGCATCACAGCAGAGTATAACAGCAGAGCATCACAGCAGAGCATCAGAACAGAGCATCAGAACAGAGCATCACAGCAGAGCACAGCGGAGCATCACAGCAGAGCACAGCAGAGCATCTCAGCAGAGCATCACAGCAGAACATCACAGCAGAACATCGCAGCAGAACATCACAGCAGAGTATCACAGCAGAGCATCACAGCAGAGCACCACAGCAGAGTATCGCAGCAGAGTATCACAGCATAGCATCACAGCATAGTATCACAGCACAGTATCACAGCAGAGCATCACAGCAGAGTATCACAGAAGAACAACACAGCAGAGCATCACAGTAGAGCATCACAGCAGAATATCACAACAGAACTTCACAGCAGAGCCTCACAGCAGAGCATCACAACAGAGCACAGAAGAGCCTCACAGCAGAGTCTCACAGCAGAGCATCACAACAGAGCACAGCAGAGCATCACAGCAGAGCACAGAAGAGCCTCACAGCAGAGCATCACAGCAGAGCATCACAACAGAGCACAGCAGAGCACAGAAGAGCCTCACAGCAGAGCATCACAGCAGAGGACAGCAGAGCATCACATCTTCTTAAAGACCATTGTGGCAGATAACCATTAATAAAACAATAATGTAACGTGTCAGTCATGACTCACCATGAATTAAGATAACTGGAATTGGAAAGTTGAAGGAAGATAACTGGAACTGGAATGAAGGAAGATAACTGGAACTGGAAAGTTGATGGAAGATAACTGGAATTGGAAAGTTGAAGGAAGATAACTGGAATTGGAAAGTTGAAGGAAGATAACTGGAACTGGAATGAAGGAAGATAACTGGAACTGAAAAGTTGAAGGAAGATAACTGGAACTGGAAAGTTGAAGGAAGATAACGAACTGGAAAGTTGAAGGAAGATAACTGGAACTGGAAACTTGAAGGAATATAATTGGAACTGGAAAGTTGAAGGAAGATAACCGGAACTGGAAAGTTGAAGGAAGATAACTGGAACTGGAAAGTTGAAGGAAGATAACTGGAACTGGAATGATGAAGGAAGATAACTGGAACTGGAAAGTTGAAGGAAGATAACTGGAACTGGAAAGGTGAAGGAAGATAACTGGAACTGGAAAGTTGAAGGAAGATAACTGGAACTGGAAAGTTGGAGGAAGATAACTGGAATGATGAAGGAAGATAATTGGAACTGGAAAGTTGAAGGAAGATAACTGGAACTGGAAACTTTAAGGAATATAATTGGAACTGGAAAGTTGAAGGAAGATAACTGGAACTGGAAACTTTAAGGAATATAATTGGAACTGGAAAGTTGAAGGAAGATAACTCTAACTGGAAAGTTGAAGGAAGATAACTGGAACTGGAAACTTTAAGGAATATAATTGGAACTGGAAAGTTGAAGGAAGATAACTCTAACTGGAAAGTTGAAGGAAGAGAATTGGAACTGGAAAGTTGAAGGAAGATAACTGGAACTGGAAAGTTGGAGGAAGATAACTGGAACTGGAAAGTTGGAGGAAGATAACTGGAATGATGAAGGAAGATAATTGGAACTGGAAAGTTGAAGGAAGATAACTGTAAAGATGAAGGAAGACAACTGTTAAGATGACTACAAGAGAGCTACATGTTGGAACAAAAACTTCAGGTCATTATCATACACTTGTACTCTCCACTATATTTGTACACTCCTTCACTCATTTTTGTACAGATATACAACCCAGCACTTACCATTACTGTGATCCAATGTAGGCAAGTGTTAACTGTACAGATATACAGCCCAGCACTTAACATTACTGTGATCCGTGGTGGACAAGTGTGTTAACAACTGTACAGATGTATAACTCAGCACTTAACATTACTGTGATCCGTGTTAACAACTGTACAGATGTATAACCCAGCACTTAACATTACTGTGATCCGTGTTAACAACTGTACAGATGTATAACTCAGCACTTAACATTACTGTGATCCGTGTTAACAACTGTACAGATGTATAACTCAGCACTTAACATTACTGTGATCCGTGTTAACTGTACAGATGTATAACCCAGCACTTACCATTACTGTGATCCATGTTAACAACTGTACAGATGTATAACCCAGCACTTAACATTACTGTGATCCGTGTTAACAACTGTACAGATGTATAACCCAGCACTTAACATTACTGTGATCCGTGTTAACAACTGTACAGATGTATAACCCAGCACTTAACATTACTGTGATCCGTGTTAACAACTGTACAGATGTATAACTCAGCACTTAACATTACTGTGATCCGTGTTAACAACTGTACAGATGTATAATCCAGCACTTAACATTACTGTGATCCGTGTTAACAACTGTACAGATGTATAACCCAGCACTTACCATTACTGTGATCCGTGTTAACACCTGTACAGATGTATAACCCAGCACTTACCATTACTGTGATCCGTGTTAACAACTGTACAGATGTATAACCCAGCACTTAACATTACTGTGATCCGTGTTAACTGTACAGATGTATAACCCAGCACTTACCATTACTGTGATCCATGTTAACAACTGTACAGATGTATAACCCAGCACTTACCATTACTGTGATCCGTGTTAACAACTGTACAGATGTATAACCCAGCACTTACCATTACTGTGATCCGTGTTAACAACTGTACAGATGTATAACCCAGCACTTAACATTACTGTGATCCGTGTTAACAACTGTACAGATGTATAACCCAGCACTTACCATTACTGTGATCCATGGTGGGCAAGTGTGCTAACTGTAGTCATGTTCATATACACAGCGTTGATGATTCATGGATACCATTGATGTATACATACACACATTGATGCCATTGAAAATGTATACATAGACACATGTATACCATTGATGTATACATACATATGGATATAACTAATGGAATAATAAATGGATGAGGTTGAATATCACTGCCATCCACACATGGATGATAATCAGTTAAGAACGGTTGATTTAGATGGTCTGGATGAAGAAGAAACTGGATGGATGAGAGGTTATTAAATCAATAAAGTGGCTGGATGGTGTCAGAGGCTGGATAGGTAGAAGATTAATTGATAGATGGATGGATGGATAGTCAGGATAAGTGAGTTGAAAACTACGAGGTGAACAGTTTGCTGCATCAGGCAGTTAACTGCTATAACTTATCTGAATAACTTAATGTGATTATAACTTCAAGTTCATTAATGTCCAGCTCCTCTACCAGTTGCCAGTTGTTGTACCACCTGTACCAGCTGTTGTACCACCTCTACCAGCTGTTGTACCACCTCTACCAGCTGTTGTACCGCCTCCACCAGCTGCTGTACCACCTCCACCAGCTGTTGTACCACCTCTACCAGCTACTGTACCACCTCTACCATCTGTTGTACCACCTCTACCAGCTGTTGTACCACCTCTACCAGCTACTGTACCACCTCTACCATCTGTTGTACTACCTCTACCAGCTACTGTAGCACCTCTACCAGCTACTGTACCACCTCTACCATCTGTTGTACCACCTCTACCAGCTGTTGTACCACCTCTACCAGCTACTGTACCATCTCTACCAGCTACTGTACCACCTCTACCAGCTGTTGTACCATCTTTACCAGCTGTTGTACTACCTCTGCCAGCTATTGTACCACCTCTACCACCTACTGTACCACCTCTACCAGCTGTTGTACTACCTCTGCCAGCTACTGTACCACCTCTACCAGCTGTTGTACCACCTCTACCAGCTACTGTACCACCTCTACCAGCTGTTGTACCACATCTTCCAGCTGTTGCACCACCTCTACCAGCTACTGTACTACCTCTACCAGCTACTGTACTACCTCTACCAGCTACTGTACCACCTCTACCATCTGTTATACTACCTCTACCAGCTACTGTAGCACCTCTACCAGCTACTGTACCACCTCTACCATCTGTTATACTACCTCTACCAGCTACTGTAGCACCTCTACCAGCTACTGTACCACCTCTACCATCTGTTGTACCACCTCTACCAGCTATTGTACCACCTCTACCAGCTGTTGTACCACCTCTACCAGCTACTGTACCACCTCTACCAGCTACTGTACCACCTCTACCAGCTGTTGTACTACCTCTACCAGCTACTGTACCACCTCTACCACCTACTGTACCACCTCTACCAGCTGTTGTACTACCTCTACCAGCTACTGTACCACCTCTACCCGCTGTTGTACTACCTGTACTACTGGTCCCAAATCTGCACACAGAAATCACTCCCTACGAAAGTAAAAGACTGGGCAGGCGATGCAAAATGCCCCCAATAAAATGTAGGGGCGCCATTGGTACACTAAGGGAAAACACCATAAGTTTCCGGGGCCCAAAACTGTTCAACAGCCTCCCATCAAGCATTAGGGAAATTGTCAATAAGCCCCTGGCTGCCTTCAAGAGAGAACTGGACAGATACCTAAAGTCAGTGCCGGATCAGCCGGGCTGTGGCTCGTACGTTGGACTGCGTGCGGCCAGCAGTAACAGCCTAGTTGATCAGGCCCTGATCCATCGGGAGGCCTGGTCATAGACCGGGCCGCGGGGGCGTTGATCCCCGGAATAACCTCCAGGTAACCTCTACCAGCTACTGTATCACCTCTACCAGCTACTGTACCACCTATACCAGCTGTTGTACTACCTTTACCAGCTACTGTACCACCTCTACCAGCTGTTGTACCACCTCTACCAGCTGCTGTACCACCTCTACCGGCTGCTGTACCACCTCTACCAGCTACTGTACCACCTCTACCAGCTGTTGTACCATCTTTACCAGCTGTTGTACTACTTCTGCCAGCTATTGTACCACCTCTACCAGCTACTGTACCACCTCTACCAGTTGTACTACCTCTACCAGCTACTGTACCACCTCTACCAGCTGTTGTACCACCTCTACCAGCTGCTGTACCACCTCTACCAGCTACTGTACCACCTCTACCATCTGTTGTACTACCTCTACCAGCTACTGTACCACCTCTACCAGCTACTGTACCACCTCTACCATCTGTTGTACCACCTCTACCAGCTGTTGTACCACCTCTACCAGCTATTGTACCACCTCTACCAGCTGTTTTACCACCTCTACCAGCTGTTGTACCACCTCTACCATCTGTTGTACCATCTTTACCAGCTGTTGTACTACCTCTGCCAGCTATTGTACCACCTCTACCAGCTACTGTACCACCTCTACCAGCTGTTGTACTACCTCTACCAGCTACTGTACCACCTCTACCAGCTGTTGTACCACCTCTACCAGCTACCGTACCACCTCTACCAGCTGTTGTACCATATCTACCAGCTGTTGTACCACATCTACCAGCTGTTGCTACACCTCTATCAGCTACTGTATCACCTCTACCAGCTGTTGTACCACTCCTAACTGTTGTACTACCTCTACCAGCTGTTGTACCACCTCTACCAGCTGCTGTACCACCTCTACCAGCTACTGTACCACCTCTACCAGCTACTGTACCACCTCTTCCAGCTACTGTACTACCTCTACCATCTGTTGTACTACCTATACCAGCTACTGTACCACCTCTACCATCTGTTGTACAACCTCTGCCAACTGTTGTACCACCTCTACCAGTTATTGTACCACCTCTACCAGCTGTTGTACCACCTCTACCAGCTACTGTACCACCTCTGCCAGCTACTGTACCACCTCTACCAGCTGTTGTACTACCTCTACCAGCTACTGTACTACCTCTACCAGCTGTTGTACTACCTCTACCAGCTACTGTACCACCTCTACCACCTACTGTACCACCTCTACCAGCTGTTGTACTACCTCTACCAGCTACTGTACCACCTCTACTATCTGTTGTACCACCTCTACCAGCTGTTGTACCACCTCTACCAGCTACTGTACCACCTCTACCAGCTGTTGTACTACCTCTACCACCTATTGTACCACCTCTACCAGCTGTTGTACTACCTCTCCCAGCTGTTGTACTACCTCTACCATCTGTTGTACCACCTCTACCAGTTGTTGTACCACCTTTACTAGCTGTTGTACTACCTCTACCATCTGTTGTACCACCTCTACCAGTTGTTGTACCACCTCTACCAGCTGTTGTACCACCTCTAGCAGCTACTGTATCACCTCTACCAGCTGTTGTACTACCTCTACCAGCTACTGTACCACCTCTACCAGCTGTTGTACTACCTCTACCAGCTACTGTATCACCTCTACCAGCTGTTGTACTATCTCTACCAGTTACTGTACCACCTCTACCATCTGTTGTACTACCTCTACCAGCTGTTGTACTACCTCTACCAGCTACTGTACCACCTCTACCATCTGTTGTACCACCTTTACTAGCTGTTGTACCACCTCTACCAGCTACTGTATCACCTCTACCAGCTGTTGTACCACCTCTACCAGCTACTGTACTGCCTCTACCAGTTGTTGTAGTTCCTCTACCGGCTACTGTATCACCTCTACCAGCTGTTGTACTACCTCTACCAGCTACTGTACTGCCTCTACCAGTTGTTGTAGTTCCTCTACCGGCTACTGTATCACCTCTACCAGCTGTTGTACCACCTCTACCATCTACTGTATCACCTCTACCAGCTGTTGTACTACCTCTACCAGCTACTGTACCACCTCTACCAGCTGTTGTAGTACCTCTACCAGCTACTGTACCACCTCTACCAGCTACTGTACCACCTCTACCAGCTGTTGTAGTACCTCTACCAGCTACTGTACCACCTCTACCAGCTACTGTATCACCTCTACCAGCTGTTGTAGTACCTCTACCAGCTACTGTAGCACCTCTACCTGTTGAGAGGGTTCGTGGAGATATAATGGTTGGAGTTAAAAACAAGTCGTTGGGTGGTAACACTTATATTAGGAGAATGTGAGAGGGGAGCCCAGCCTAGCCTGTCCTGTTGCCTGTAGTCTACACGTGAAGTGAGAAAGGGACAGCGCGTCCGCTCACATATGGCATCACGTGACGTCACACATGCTAGCCACTGAGCCTAGCAAGTGGTCAACTATGTAAAACATATGGATGGTACTATGATACTCAGGTAACATATACATATACAGCGGATCAGCAATTATGCTGACAGCTCGGTCATGTTACGCTTGTTGTCTTTACATACCATACTATGCTATAGGCTGAACAGGCAGGTGGCTCAAGGCTGATTCTGTACAATAGCAAAGGCATATGTAACTTAGAACTAATAGATGGTATTATGATGTGTGGTATCATAATGGGTGTTAACGTAATACATCACAAATTATAAGAACATATAGTATAATAAAAGATGGAATTGATCGATTGATCTGTAGTCATGCACTCTATGGATTCTGAGGAAGAATATATATTTACAAAGGTGAAAGTAATTAACAACAAAGGTAGACCAGGCACACACAGGTCATACTGCTAAATCTCAGAATTCGGAGGGAACATGAACACACACACAAAAAATTATTCCTGAAAACTGATCAGCTAATAAACACACAGTTGACAACTTCATTCATTTTGATCATCTAATTATACAGGCTATGTACATTTAAACCCAACTCTTCGAGGGTAAGATTTACATATGCAGAATGGTTATCATCTCTGGGAGGATCGAATTCTTTTGGAATGGCTAACACATGCCTTGACTGAGGGAGATCTGAACAAGTGTCTACAAAAGATACTTGAGGGTTTCTCATTACTTGTCGTGTACGCAAAGAATAACGACATTCAGGTTGATTGTCTGACTCAGTGTTAGAGGTAGAGGGTACAGAGTCAGGAGGATTGTCAGTGTCTGTCACATTAGTCTGGGTAGAAATATCATCAACTTTGCATACTAACTTCACATGATCTAAATGTGATTCCTTATACTGACCAGTACTAATTTCTCTAACCTTACACTTATTGCCATTGATATGTTCGACTATTTGATAAGGACCAACAAACTTTTGATCGAGCTTAGGCATTGCGGATGTTTTGTTGAAGTTAGTCAGCATTTCTCTCAAACCCACTTTAATTGTGGTCAGCTGAGCATGGCTATTAGTTACTCTTGTAAATTCTGCTGTTGACTTACGAAGTGTCTCACAGATTCTTTTAAAAACACTTTGAGCTAAGCTGGTACGAGTTGCTATGAAATCATTAGGGTTGTAATTGGGTTTCGGTGCAGAATATAACAACTCATAAGGCAAACGCTTGTGTACACCATACAATGCATAATGTGGAGTGTCACCTATTGAAGCATTGTAAGCAGAATTTATGGCACATTGAACATCAGGTATAACTTCATCCCAGGTTTCACTGTTGGGGTTGATAGTAGCTCTCAAGACATCAAGTACTTCCTTATTTGTTCATTCATACAAAGTCACTAATGGGTGCTGGTGGCTTCACAGTCAGATCTTCCTAGAACAGGAATCGAATCACACCAGACCACAAGGGATCGGTTCTTTCTTACTGGAGGAATGAACAAACTCGGGGGAGTGGATGACTCTCCCCGGTTGAAAAAAGTAACGCTATAACACGCAATATGAGCAAGGGAGAACGGATCTACTATATTAGCAGAGTGTGAGAGGGGAGCCCAGCCTAGCCTGTCCTGTTGCCTGTAGGTCTATGCGTGAAGTGAGAAAGGGACAGCGCGTCCAACGCTCACATGCAGCATCACGTGATGTTACACATGCTAGCCACTGAGCCTAGCAAGGGGTCAACTATGTAAAATATATGGATGGTACTATGATACTCAGATAACATATACATATACAGGGGATCAGCAACTATGCTGACATACCAGCTACTGTACCACCTCTACCAGTTCTTGTACTGCCTCTACCAGATACTGTACCACCTCTACCAGTTCTTGTACTGCCTCTATCAGATACTGTACCACCTCTACTAGATACTGTACCACCTCTACCAGATACTGTACCACCTCTACCAGTTCTTGTACTGCCTCTATCAGATACTGTACCACCTCTACCAGATACTGTACCACCTCTACCAGATACTGTACCACCTCTACCAGCTGTTGTACTGCCTCTGCCAGCTACTGTACCACATCTACAAGCTGTTGTACCACCTCTACCAGCTGTTGTACCACTTCTACCAGCTGTTGCACCACCTCTACCAGCTACTGTACCACCTCTACCAGATACTGTACCACCTCTACAAGCTGTTGTACCACATCTACCAGCTGTTGTACCACCTCTACAAGCTGTTGTACCACATCTACCAGCTGTACCACCTCTACAAGCTGTTGTACCACCTCTACAAGCTGTTGTACCACCTCTACAGCTGTTGTACCACCTCTACAAGCTGTTGTGCCACATCTACCAGCTGTTGTACCACCTCTACCAGCTATTGTACCACCTCTACAAGCTGTTGTACCACATCTACCAGCTGTTGTACCACCTCTACAAGCTGTTGTACCACATCTACCAGCTACTGTACCACCTCTACCAGCTACTGTACCACCTCTACAGCTGTTGTACCACCTCTACAGCTGTTGTACCACCTCTACCAGCTACTGTACCACCTCTACAGCTGTTGTACCACCTCTACCAGCTACTGTACCACCTCTACAGCTGTTGTACCACCTCTACAAGCTGTTGTACCACCTCTACCAGCTACTGTACCACCTCTACCAGCTGTTGTAGACCTTTACCAGCTTCTTAAATTTCAAGTACATCTGTTGATGTTTATATTGATGGTCGCCTTACACACGCTTGTAATGTATAAGAGAAATATTAGTGCAATAAGAACTCGTAATAGAGGTGCATGAAAATAAATATTAGTGTTTAGTGAGTGTGAGTACAACTTTGTAAGACTTATTTATCATCTTAATTATTCCCTGTTCGATGTCTACTTCCTGTGCTTCTTCCAGCAGACAAAAACATTACTGCTATAGTACACACAATGACATGCCAATAGTACCTATATATATAAGATGATAATCATACCTACATGCAAGAGGACAGTACCTATATATATGAGAGGACAATATTACCTATATATAAGACGACAGTAGTACCTTCGTAGAGGGCAGTAGTATTTATATATGAGAGGACAGTAGTACCTATGTACAAGAGGGCAATAGTACCTACGTAGAGGACAACAGTACCTACGTAGAGGACAATAGTACTAATGTCCTCTAGGATATTAGTACTCGCCCGTGGTATGGTGTGTTGATGTAAATGGTCCAACTCGGACCGAAACGTTGTCGTAAGCTCATCACTTGTATGTGCTGGTTATTTGTGTATCGTTCCAGTCACGGTATTATGCCTTTTTTGTTATTTACAATCGTGTCATTACGATTTCGTGAGTCAAGATATATATAATGACTCGTAGATATTTTAAGTTATTATCAGAAAGTAAGAGAGAAGCGGCAGTAAGATAACTGTGTATAATAACATCAAGATAAGAGAGAAGCGGCAGTAAGATAACTGTGTATAATAACATCAAGATAAGAGAGAAGCGGCAGTAAGATAACTGTGTATAATAACAACAAATAAGGGGAAGCGGCAGTAAGAAACTGTTTAACATCAAAATAAGAGAGAAGCGGCAGTAAGATAACTGTGTATAATATCAAGATAAAAGAAGCGGCAGTAAAATAACTGTGTATAATAACATCAAGATAAGAGAGGAGCGGCAGTAAGATAACTGTATAATAACATCAAGATAAGAGAGGAGCGGCAGTAAGATAACTGTATAATAACATCAAGATAAGAGAGAAGCGGCAGTAAGATAACTGTGTATAATAACACCAAGATAAGAGAGAAGCGGCAGTAAGATAACTGTATAATAACATCAAGATAAGAGAGAAGCGGCAGTAAGATAACTGTGTATAATAAAATCAAGATAAGAAGAAGCGGCAGTAAGATAACTGTATAATAACACCAAGATAAGAGAGAAGCGGCAGTAAGATAACTGTGTATAATAACATCAAGATAAGAAGAAGCGGCAGTAAGATAACTGTAAAAATAACATCAAGATAAGAAAGAAGCGGCAGTAAGATAACTGTATAATAACATCAAGATAGAAGAAGCGGCAGTAAGAAAACGTATAATAACATCAAGATAAGAGAGAAGCGGCAGTAAGATAACTGTGTATAATAACATCAAGATAAGAAAGAAGCGGCAGTAAGATAACTGTATAATAACATCAAGATAAAGAGAACGGCAGTAAAGATAACTGTATAATAACATCAAGATAAGAGAGAAGCGGCAGTAAGATAACTGTGTATAATAACATCAAGATAAGAGAGAAGCGGCAGTAAGATAACTGTGTATAATAACATCAAGATAAGAGAGAAGCGGCAGTAAGATAACTGTGTATAATAACATCAAGATAAGAGAGAAGCGGCAGTAAGATAACTGTATAATAACATCAAGATAAGAGAGAAGCGGCAGTAAGATAACTGTATAATAACATCAAGATAAGAGAGAAGCGGCAGTAAGATAACTGTGTATAATAACATCAAGATAAGAGAGAAGCGGCAGTAAGATAACTGTGTATAATAACATCAAGATAAGAGAGAAGCGGCAGTAAGATAACTGGGATAATAACATCAAGATAAAGAGAAGCGGCAGTAAGATAACTATAATAACATCAAGATAGAGAGAAGCGGCAGTAAGATACTGTGTATAATAACATCAAGATAAGAGAGAAGCGGCAGTAAGATAACTGTATAATAACATCAAGATAAGAGAGAAGCGGCAGTAAGATAACTGTGTATAATAACATCAAGATAAGAGAGAAGCGGCAGTAAGATAACTGTGTATAATAACATCAAGATAAGAGAGAAGCGGCAGTAAGATAACTGTATAATAACATCAAGATAAGAGAGAAGCGGCAGTAAGATAACTATAATAACATCAAGATAAGAGAGAAGCGGCAGTAAGATAACTGTATAATAACATCAAGATAAGAGAGAAGCGGCAGTAAGATAACTGTGTATAATAACACCAAGATAAGAGAGAAGCGGCAGTAAGATAACTGTATAATAACATCAAGATAAGAGAGAAGCGGCAGTAAGATAACTGTGTATAATAACACCAAGATAAGAGAGAAGCGGCAGTAAGATAACTGTATAATAACATCAAGATAAGAGAGAAGCGGCAGTAAGATAACTGTGTATAATAACACCAAGATAAGAGAGAAGCGGCAGTAAGATAACTGTGTATAATAACACAAGATAAGAGAGAAAACGGCAGTAAGATAAGTAAAAACATCAAAA